TGGACGTAAGAACTAATTCGAAAACCTTCCTTTTTTTAGGAAAAGAAAAACAGTATCATGAGTTGTAACAATTTTTACACGCCAAGAAAAAATTGAAGTGAAAGCAACATTTTGTTTTTTTCAGTGAGTACATGTAATGCATGTATACAGAGCAGAGCTATATGACATGACAGTCAGTTAATTTGCCACAGGCTTACGTCATGTTTAGAACCTCCTTTAATTTGTCTGGCCACAATTTTCAGGCCTTTATTTTACTTCACCTAGTTTTGGGAACCTTACGCCTACCTTGACAAAGTAACAGTCTGCATATGTGTGTTGAAAAAAGAAATGTCAAGGCGATCCATTTTGCCTACAGTATAGTAAGAAATGTTGCCAGAGTTATGAAAAATTTTTGGATTTGCAAAACCCAAGATAAATAAGTGCTTCGATCTAATATATTTCGCGTGGGGACGTTGGCGGAGTTATTGACACAAACGGAAATATATTGGTATCAATATTGAAGCTGTAAAAGGACGGAAAGAAAAGGTATTGAAAATTTTCAAAGAATGTTTGTGTTATCGCTATATTAGGCGAAACTAGTCAAATCAATTTTCGCGTCTAACTTTGTTCAATCACACCTGTTGTTGATTTCTTTCCACACAGCCATACTTTCAGCTCAACTAATCACAAGACGGTCAAAAAATCGATATTCAATTCTGCATACTCATAATCTGTGGGAAAAGATAAACGAAAAAAAATGAAATGAAAATAGTAGTGTGTGTTACAACATAGTATTAGAGTTCGTACAAAGCTGTGCTTAGTTTTAATTCAAGCTTGTGCAAACATGGCTAAGGGAACCCTATTCGTACGATAATTTACCAGACTCAACAAAAAGATTAAGAATTGGTGTTAACATTCACAATAACCCCTTCGGTTAATTATCTGAGTGTAGTTTTGATACACCATATTGGTAACTAAATTAGATGATGTTGATGTTTTAGAAGCTATAACTCATCTTTAAATTGTACAGGGTACAGAGAGTATCCCCATCCATTAATCGAGTCCGGTCCTTTTAGGACTCCTTTAGTTATCTTCTGTACGTTGAGAGAAAATGTTTTGCAAAATGTTACGACATTCAATTCACGTATAATTCATCCGAAATTGATTTTGCTAGCTTAGCACCACTTATGTACAACAAACAGCGAATAAAACGTCCGTTACTTTTGACTATAATATACAATACTTCTTTTTAAAGTAATGCGAGTTTAAGCCAAGTTTATAGCCTCTTTTTTTAAATCAGAATTGTACATTTTTATTTGCTTTACCGCAGTTTCTCCAACTTACTGAAAGTGTTAGTTATAAAGCTAAAAAAGAGAGGAATTGGGAGTTGTTTTCATTGACACATCAACATGTCGAAAGCCGTGTAGAGCAGACTTTAGGGGAAAATTCTAATTACCATCTTTAGCTGCACAAAATGATGCAAATAAATAACACGGAAAAACTAAATATTGGATTAAGTACCTCAAGGTACGCTGTCATAATGAACCTTTTTATAGTAACACCACATGACCAACTGACGCAATCATAAGAAAACAGCCGGTACGGGCAGTAATAGTAACACGGACTGATGTAAGTAGGACAGGATGAACACAAGGACCTGGTCGAAAATAGCAAATTCAGACATACGCACCCCTCCAGAATGTTGTCAACAAGAAATTTGCAGAACTTTTCACCTTAAAAGCGGTGCAGTCGGGCCGGATAAAGTCGGGCCGGATAAAGTCAGGCCGGATAAAGTCGGGCCGGATCATATGTATTAAAGGCATCCACGGTCGAATGTCGATCGATACCCTCAATCAACACTCGATCAACACTCGATCGACACTCGATCAACACTCGATCGACATCTCGATCGACATGGCCGGATGTTGGTGACAAAAAGGCAAATGCCGGTCCTTGCAGTTTAATAAGGAGCTTAAGCAACGACGACACCGACGCCGAGGACGACGCCTAGTAAAAAATGAATTTAAATATTACCAGCGAAATTCGCCACTGTCTAGACCTGTTCAATGCGCCTAGGGCTCTAAAACCCTGCTCAGGCTAAATATGCAATGACAGCGTTGAATTCCAAATGGAAATACGAAAGATTTAGCCGTCGTCGTTCGCGTTCCTCAAACTAAGCGGAATTTGGTCATTTCGCGTTGTTTTCCAGAGGACGGCAAAGAAATGTACAAAGATTTATAACGCACGTGCACAGCTATTCGTAACAGGCTAAACAGGATGTCTACAAAAATTTCAACCCCGAGCCTTCTATACAGGTTCATTTAAGCGACACTGCAAACAAATGGAGTATTTAAATGTGTAAATAGTGTCTCCAATTAGTCTTATTTTTTTAAGCTAAGTACTGTCTGACACTTGAAAGTCTTTCATTCATTCATTCAACCATTCATTCAAATAGAGGCCATTCTTATCATAAGTTATGAATCATACGACCGGTATACTAATTTCAATTCTTGAACTCTCCTCACCCCCCAACCCCACACCCCATCACATAATTACAAGCACTGCTAAAAGCCTGAATTACTGACTGCTTTTTTCTTGACTCGTTTTTTCTTGTTTTTGCATAGTCCGCAATAATACTTTATTACGTATTTATTCATTTTTTTATTTATCTAACGATTGTATTCCCTGTTCCAATTCCAGCTAATGGCATCTGCATCCTGGTACTGATAACAGAATGTACCCAGTCTACCTCGGTACTTTGTGGCTGTGTGCAAAGATCCTGATGTCAAGCCAAACAAATGCGACAGGTTAATGAACCCATAGATAACGAAAAGAAATTTGATATCTTTTTAATATTTTGCCTTCAGAGATTTCTGTGTCCGGTATGACATATATCTAGCTACGTCCATTACGGCTCAACTGCTCAGCTTTGAGTTATCAGTCATGCCAGTCAAGTGCATTAAGCATTTGACTTTCTTGAGCATCAGTGGTAAAGTGCAGCTCGGCATTTTAGTGCATATAATGATCTTTGACAAACATGAAGAGGGAAACACTGATCACAAATGCCGTCCTCAATCAGAATTGAATGGATGGATTCGGCTGACGTTTTTGCATCCCTGTTACCACCACCCAGTTCAAATCATGTGATGATTCATTTGGGAGATAACAATTGTTCTGTTTCTGCATACTTCAATGTAATCAGTTGTGTGTGGCAAATTGCACAATTGTCTGGCCTCCCAATTAATCGTCACGTGGTCGGAATTGGGTGTACATGTCACAAGGATGTAAAAGCGTCAGCCGAATCCGTCTATTTGAGCAGTTATACGAAAAACAAAAACAAAAAAACACCCGAACAAATTTACTTTGAATTCACATTTTCATACAATCATAACTTTTGAAATATTATTATCTAGTTCATTTATTATTCGTTGCAGATTTTGTTGGCATTTTAACTGGTGACGATAACCTCACAGTTTTCGCGGACGGACGTCTTGTTGGCTACGACGACTCCTGGAGCGCGGCAAGGTGGTTTACATTCCCTATTGAAACGAAAGTCATTGCTGTGTCTGTTTACAACTTACCAGGTCATATCGGTGGATTTCTAGGCGTGTTTAGCAACGGAGTGGCCACAGATGGTACCTGGAAATGCAAAGAAATCCTTATTAGACCAGACGATGGATGGGAGCAAACCAATTTTAATGATAGCACATGGCCACACGCTTACGTCAGACATGATAATAGTGATCCGCTCGGCTTT